CACTGCACTCCAGTCTGGGCGACAGAGTGAGACTCCAACTCAAAAAAAAAAAAGAGTGGATTTGCCCATGTATATAGCAGGACCACTTGTAGCAAATGCTTTCCTAGGTAAGGGTGAATTTGGGGATCAGCTGAGTCATTAGAGAGACTCAGCCATCCCTCTCCTTTCCCTCCATCCAGGGTCTGTTTCAGAAGATGGGTGTTTGATTTTGTGGGGGAGCTGGTTGGGGATGGGAGGGTTCCCCACCTAGGTGTACATATGTAAATGGTCTGTTCCCATTTCTGTCTTTCTTTGGTTCTTACTTTCTTCCCTCACTCCTTATCTTTGCCACTTGTTTCTCCAGAGCTTGCTGGGAGATGGTCCCCTGCGGTTGCTGTTGCTGCCCTCTGTCCACCTTGAAGCCTTAGACCTGCTCTCTGCACTCATCCTTGCGTGAGTGGGATTGGGCAGGATGTGATGGGGGAATGGGACATGCTGGAAACAAAGGTCACTGTTCCTTCTCTGTCCCCAGGTGTGGTGGCCGGCTCCTGCGCTTTGGGGTCCTGATCAGCCGCCTGCTTCCCCAAGTCCTCAATGCCTGGAGTATCGGTAGGGATTCTTTCTCTCCAGGCCAGGAGAAGCCTTACAGGTGACCATCCAGGAAGGGAATCAAGAGGAGAGGGTGGGTGAGGGGATATAGGTTAACTGGGCATTCTGATGTATTGCCCTCTTTGCTCATAACCTGCCCTCTTTGCTCACACTATAGCACCATTCGGACCAAGGTGTATGCTGTGTTAGAGCTGTGGGTGAAAGTCTGTGGGGCATCAGCAGGAGTGCTTCAGGGAGGAGCCTCTGGAGAGGCCCTGCTGACCCATCTGCTCAGTGACATATCCCCCCCAGCTGATGCCCTTAAGGTGAGTGAGATCTTGCTTCCGTCCCAGGACTCATCCTGTACCCTTTGTCCACATGTGCCTCCTCATTAAACACTATCACTTGACTCTGTCCTGTTGTCCTGTTGCCTGTGTATGTTATTTATATTTTCCTCTCTCACCAGCTGCGCAGCCCCCGGGGAAGCCCTGATGGGGGTTTACAAACTGGGAAACCCAGTGCCCCCAAGAAGCTAAAGCTGGATGTGGGGGAGGCTATGGCCCCGCCCAGCCACCGGAAAGGAGATACCAATGCCAATAGTGATGTGTGTGCAGCTGCACTGAGAGGTGGGTAAGGCCTGTGACCTGCATCCTTGGGGCTCTGGGATGACCTCAAATGGCAGCCCAAGAGCAGTTGGTGAAGTAGAGGGTTATTTAAAATGCAGAGCCAGCTAAAAGCCTGCAGAAACAGCCATTTGGCTGTAGGACTGCAGGTAGAATCTTGGGGATTCTGGTGTTGACACTGCCCCCAGTTATCTCATTTAGTCAACAAATACTTTGCATACCTACTTTATATGCCAAGTACAGTTTTTAGCACTTGGGGAAAATTCCTGCCTGTGGAGCTTATTTTCTTTCCAAGGCAGGCTGCCTGGTGGAGCTCCCTGCTTCTGATACAACTGCTAATCTATCAACTAGTGACTAGTTGGATACTGTGCAGTTAATGGATGACTTTCCTTTGGTCCCATCCATTTCACTGCCTGCCATGCCACCCCTTGGGAAGGGGAGAGCCAACTTTTCTCAAATATGTAAATGCACGTTTGTAGTGTTTTATCTACATTGTCTTATTTAAATACTGTCAACGACCTGACATAGTAGAGGTGTTTGTATGATCTTCGTTTCATAGTTGAGAAAGCAAACCTAGAGGAGTTAGATGACTTGCTCAAGGTAGCCAGTGGCAGAGCTGATGCTTGCCTTGGGCTGTGCTTCAGAAGCCCTTGCTCTCCAGCCCTGTCAGGACCCTGCCTCTTACACATCATTCTTCTCCCCCAGGCCTCAGCCGGACTATCCTCATGTGTGGGCCTGTGATCAAGGAGGAAACTCACAGGGTTAGTGGAGCTGGTCCCCATGGAGACTAGGGAGGGGGCTGTTGCTCTGTACGTGTGCGGGTATGTGCCCCAGAGAAGGGCCCATTCAGACCTGGGAGTGGACCCTGGAGAAGGGTTGGTCCGTCTTGGCAATGTGTCTAGGTATGTGCTCTGTGTCCTTTTCAGAGACTGCATGATCTGGTCCTACCCCTGGTCATGGGTGTCCAGCAGGGTGAGGCCCTAGGCAGCTCCCCATATAACAGCTCCTGCTGCCGCCGTGAACTCTACCGCCTGCTCCTGGCACTGCTGCTGGCACCTTCTCCTCGCTGCCCACCTCCTCTCGCCTGTGCCCTGCAAGCTTTCTCCCTTGGTCAACAAGAAGACAGCCTTGAGGTAACTGCTGATTGGGGTTGAGCCCTGTTTGGTTCCTGGATTCTCTTATTTCTGATGCTGGTGGACTCTTCCTGTCTTGCCCCATGAGACCTGTATTCCTGATTTTCACACTTGTTCTTTCTTCTTTTCTCAGGTCTCCTCTTTCTGCTCAGAAGCACTGGTGACTTGTGCTGCTCTGACCCACCCCCGTGTTCCTCCCCTGCAGTCCATGGGCTCCACCTGCCCCACACCTGCCCCAGTTCCCCCTCCAGAAGCCCCATCTCCCTTTAGGGCCCCACCCTTCCATCCCCCCGGCCCTATGCCCTCAGTAGGCCCCATGCCCTCAGCAGGCCCTATGCCTTCCGCAGGTCCCATGTCCTCCACAGGCCCCATGCCCTCTGCAGGTCCCATGTCCTCTGCAGGCTCCATGTCCTCCACAGGCCCTGTGCCCTCAGCACGCCCTGGACCTCCAGCGACAGCCAACCACCTAGGTCTCTCTGTCCCAGGCCTGGTGTCTGTTCCTCCCCGGCTTCTTCCTGGTCCCGAGAACCACCGGGCAGGCTCAAATGAGGACCCCGTCCTTGCCCCTAGTGGGACTCCTCCACCTACTATACCCCCAGATGAAACTTTTGGGGGAAGAGTGCCCAGACCAGCCTTTGTCCACTATGATAAGGAGGAGGCATCTGATGTGGAGATCTCCTTGGAAAGTGACTCTGATGACAGTGTGGTGATTGTGCCAGAGGGGCTACCACCCCTGCCACCCCCACCACCCTCAGGCACCACACCTCCCCCCACAGCCTCTGCTGGGCCACCAGCAGCCTCCCCTCCTGTGCCAGCCAAGGAGGAGCCTGAAGAGCTTCCTGCAGCCCCGGGACCTCTCCCACCACCCCCACCTCCGCCCCCACCTGTTCCTGGTCCTGTGACACTGCAGCCGCCCCAGTTGGTCCCTGAAGGGACTCCTGGTGGGGGAGGACCTCCGGCTCTGGAAGAGGATTTGACAGTTATTAACATTAACAGCAGTGATGAGGAGGAGGAGGAAGAGGAAGAAGAGGAAGAAGAAGAGGAGGAAGAAGAGGAAGAGGAAGAGGACTTTGAGGAAGAGGAAGAGGATGAAGAGGAGTATTTTGAAGAAGAAGAAGAGGAGGAAGAAGAATTTGAGGAGGAGTTTGAAGAAGAAGAAGGTGAGTTAGAGGAAGAAGAGGAGGAGGAGGAAGAAGAAGAGGAAGAGGAGTTGGAAGAGGTAGAAGAGTTGGAGTTTGGCTCAGCAGGAGGGGAGGTAGAGGAAGGTGGACCTCCACCCCCAACCCTGCCTCCAGCTCTGGCCCCTTCAGAGTCACCCAAAGTGCAGCCTGAGCCAGAACCAGAACCCGGGCTGCTGTTGGAAGTGGAGGAGCCAGGGGCAGAGGAGGAGCATGGGGCTGAGACAGCCCCTACCCTGGCCCCAGAAATACTCCCTTCCCAAGGGGAGGCGGAGGGAGAAGGGGTAAGCCCTGCAGCAGGGCCACCGCCTCAGGAGCTTGTTGAAGAAGAACCCTGCTCTGCTCCCCCAACCCTGCTGGAAGAGGGGACTGAAGGTGGGGATGACAAGGTACCACCCCCACCAGAGACATCTGCAGAAGAAGAGATGGAGATGGAGACGGAGACAGAGGCAGAGGCCACAGCTCTCCAGGAAAAGGTAAGCGGGACAGGCAGGGCGGGTCACTCTCAGGTGGGAAAGTGGGGCTGGTGGCTGAAGTGGGAGAAGGAGTTGCAGCTGCTTATTTTAGGGGAGAGGCTTGCCCTGAGCCTGATCTATCCGTGTATGTGTGTGTGACTATTTTGAATCTTATGTCTTTGTCTCTAAAAGGAGCAGGATGACACAGCTGCCATGCTGGCTGACTTTATTGATTGTCCACCTGATGATGAGAAGCCACCACCTACCACAGAGCCTGACTCCTAGCCCTCTTCTGTATCCCTACTTCTTGTTTTCAATAAAGTTATGTCCTTAGATAGCAACTGCTGCTTCCGCTTTTTGCCACAACTGGGTCCCCAGCCAAGGCCCTTGGGGCCATGCTGGCTTTTCAGGGATCCATAGTATTCTGCAAATGTCTCCATAGCTGTCCTGTTGTTTGCATAGTCAAGAGGAAGAACTACTGACTGTCCTGTCCTTCAGCAAGTTAATGTTAGAATTGTAGAATTCTTGCCTAATGCTAAATATGTGCAGGGTTGCCTGTGTGGTTAAGACAGTAAGGAGTTAGAATATGTAGTCTTGCTTTTGAATTTGCATTCCAGCAGTGGGAAGTGTGTGAGGGAACTTAGAGGTTTAAGTGTCCTAGTATGTAAACTGTGTAAACACACATGCCTACACACTTGCACGTGCACATATAGCCCCTTGGTCTGAAAGAGAAGACTGAGTGATTTTGATGGAAGTTTAGAAAGTTAGGAAAAGGTATAGAGGGGTTTAGTCCTTGAATTCTGGGAAATTTGACTCTTGGGTGTCCCAAATTAAGGGAACATCTATTCTGGAGCTGGTCCTTCCATCCCAGTCCCCTCCAATGCCTCCGTGACAGGAATTTAATAAGTTCCCCCCAGGCCTTCCTGCCTACTTTTGAGAGCTGGACATTTCCAGCTGTTGCCTGATTCCTTTAAACATGGATATTTACTCTAGGCCTTGCTGGGATGGATGTGTGAGGATGAATCTAGAGAAGTATCTGAAAGGACACCAAGATTTATGGGCTTGAACTAGGGGCCCCATGATTTTTTTCAGTCAGTTTATTGAATTCTGAACATAAGCAAAGTGCCTTGAAAATGCAGAAAAGAGAGTAATTTCCCCCAACTTCATGTGCCTTGAAGAGCCTCTTTGAGGAGGTGACTTTTGAGCTAATTTTTAGAAACTTAAGTAGGATTTTAAAAAATCATCCCCTCAACTCCTTATTCTGGAAAGTTTCAAACCTACAGAAAAGTTATGAGGTAAGTACAATATATAACCTTTGCCTAGCTTTACCAATTGTTAACATTTAGCCAAATTAACTTATTGATATAAACCATGTATCTATAGGTAGACATGTAACTATACATACATCTGTGCAATCTGTATATCTTAATATAAGGCATGAGGTACAAATCCAATTTTACTGTGTTGTCCAAATGTTGTTTAGTAGACAATCCATCTCTTCATGATTTGAAATACCACCTTTGTTATATTCTAAATTCCGATATGTACTCGAATCTATTTCTTGGCCTTATGTTCTGTTCCATTGCTCTGCCTGTGCACACATTTCAATATCGAGTAGGATGTTAAGGTGTGTTTTGGCTTGACCTAGGAAAACAATGGGTAGGGGTCAGAATGGTTCCACAATTCAGAACAGGGCCTATCACACTAGTTCTTCTGGATTCCTGGACTGGTAGTTGGGCAAATATGGACAGCATTTTGATTTCAGCAGACTCTCCAACAGTCTTTCACAGTGTGCTTGTGGACAGGGTAGAGAATGTTGGCTGAATGTTAGGATAGTTACCAGATGATTCAAGCAGTTAATAATCATACCCAAACCGGGCATATAATCCCAGCACTTTGGGAGGCTGAGGTGAGAGGACTGCCTGAGCCCATGGGTTCAAGACCAGCCTGGGCAACTTGGCGAGGCCTCATTTCTGCAATAAGAAAAAATTAGCTGGGTATGATGACTTGTGCCTGTAGTTTCAGCTACTTAGAAGGCTGAGGCGGAAGGATCACCTGAGCTCAGCTGGTCAAGGCTGCGGTGTCCGGGGGCATGTTACTGCCTTCCAGCCTGGGTGACAGAGTGAGACTCCAACTTAAAAAAAAAACAACAGTAATAATAATCATACCCAAAGGATAATAGATTGGGGTTATCCTGGAGAAGGCTTCCTTGAGCATGCTCTACACTCTGCTCAAAATCACTAAAAATATTTTACATGTGATGGCGTACATCTGTAGCTCCAGCTACTTGGGAGACTGAGATGGGAGGATTGCTTGAGCCCAGAGTTCAAGACCAGCCTGGGTAGCATAGACCTCTATCTTAAAAAAAAAAAATCCTAAATAGCTTGGATGTAGATCTGTTTGTTAAATTTGCTTGGGACACACAGTTGGAAGGCTAGTGTATATTTGTATATCTGACAAGAATTTTTTTAAAAGTTGCATAGTGGAATTTCAGAGCTCAGACTATGATTCTGTCTTTGGGCCCCTCAATTGTATAGGTGGCTTAGAAGAAATGGGATTGCCAGGCTCAGTGGCTCAGCCTGTAATCCCAGTGCTTTGGGAGGCTAAGGTGAGTAGATTGCCTGAAGTGAAGAGATTGCCAAGAGTGAAGAGGTCTTGGAAAGTGCTGTGCCCCAGAGGAGAAAAAAGCTTCAGACAGGAGGGAGAAATGTCCCTTGGGCCTGTCAACAGTCAGTGGCCTCAGAGTGAGCAGTCTCAGAGGGTGGAGGGGCAGAACTATGGGATAACTGGGAGGAGGGGCAAGGTAGCGCAAGATGTGCTGTGACGGGAAGGAGAGTAGGTGGTACAGTGCTGGCCATGCTTGGCTGTGTGTGAACCCTCAGTCCAGAGACTGGCTGTTTTGCAGACTGCCTGCTCAGTTCCTGACTGTTCTCTGAGTGGTTTCTATCGGTGTCTCTCACAGGGTTCATTTTACAACCTCCAGGGAAGGACAGGCAGACCTCCCAGATCTCAGGCTTCCCGGCCCTGGTCACACAACAGAAGCAGAGGTGTTTTCAGCAGGGCCATAACTGGTCTTCCACTCTAAAATACCCCTTCTGCCCCATCTCCCCTCATTAACTTCTCACCCTACCTTTTACCCCCTTTATCACCACCTGATATATTGTTGATGTTTAGTTTGTCTCCTCCCAGTAAAATGTAAGTACCAGTAGAGCAGAGACTTTTTGGTGTGTCAATTACTGGCTATATCTCCAGTCCCAAATTCCTGGTATGTAGTAGGACTCAGCAGCTATTGAATGAATAGATAAATGAACAAATGAATGTCTGAATGAATAATTGAGGGGGAATCCCTGCTGGGCCCTGGCGGGTATCATAAACACGGATGATGGTGTTTCTTCCTCAGTCTCTTGAGGAACTGGAAGTGGGGGATAAGCAAACCATTATCTGCAGCAGGGAGGAACTCTATGTGGAGGCTCCCTTTCCATCTGGGTGGGTGTGCATTGCTGTAGGAGATTTAGAAACCAAGTTCTAATGGGGGAGCTTAACCGCTCAGGCTGAGGATCCCTTAACTACCCAAAGGGGGTCACTTACTGTTCATCTCACAAAGAGTCTTTCCCAGCCTGCTCCTTCTTAAAGACTGGATGTAGCAACAGAAAAGAATGGGCTGGGGCTGAGGGTGCCCCTGGAACTGCACACTATCTCCTCCCTTGCCCCTTGTAAGCCAAGGAGGCTTTGAGGGGCAGCTCTCAGCACAGATCCTGGGGAGCTCACAGGATACCACCTCCTTGGCCTTTGTGGGATTACATTGATCCTCAGCCCTTGGGTTTGGTTTAGTTTCCCAATTCCAGTCTTGATCTGCCTGAGCCCAAGTGGAAATCTGTTTTCAAACACTAGTTTCTCTACAACCTGCCCCGTAGGTTTCCTTAAATAGTAACCCATCTGTAGTACCCTCTGAACAGAGGTTGTGTGTTAGGCATTCTTTTCTCCCTGTGGTTCCTAGCAAAAGGTTTGGAATCAAGGAAGTATTAGTGAATGGGAAATAAATGAACTCTTCCTGTGTGCGATCCAGCTCAAGAGGAAGCTTCCTGGCTGGGGGCGGTGACTCATGCCTGTAATTCCAGCACTTTGAAAGGCCAAAGTGGTAGTGTCACTTGAGCCCAGGAGTTTGAGACCAGCCTGGGTAACATAGCAAGACCCTACAGAAATTTTCAAAAATGAGCTGGGTGTGGTGGTGTGTGGTTGTAGTCCCACCTACTTGGAAGGCTGAGGTGGAAGGATGGCTTGAGTCCAGTGGCCACTGCACTCCAGTCTGGGTGACAGAGTGAGACTCTAACTCAAAAAGCCAAAACAAAAAAAAAAGAGGAAGCTTCCTGTTTTCAGTCTGTAGGAGTCCAGCTCCTGCCGGGTTCAGGGTACCCCAAAGGTGGAGATGGCATCAGCGATTGTGAGAATGAGAGAAAGAGGGAGGGAGGGGAAGAGAGGGAGAGAGGGAGAGAGAGAGAGAGAGAGAGAGAGAGGAGGGAGGGAGGGGCTTGGGCGGCCCCCACCCACCAGATATTCTTTCAGGTATGAGGAAGAAAATCCCATAACAGAATCCATGACTGCCTATAAACCCTTTTCATCCTAAGCTAAT